ATTTTTAAAAAAAAGCTAACCCTGGGGCCAGCAGGTGACATGTGATTAAGGCACGGGACTCCCATGTGGCCAACTATGGTTCAAGTCCACAACCTGGTGGCTTTCTTTCTCACTTCCCCTCTCTCTCTCTGGTTAAATAAAATAATAATAATAAAATAAATAAATAAATAAATATACTTAAAAAGAGTTAACTCTAATTTTCCTCATACTATTTCTAAAGATTCGAAGTAAAGAAATCCTCCCACACTCATTCTATGAAGCCTCCATCACCTTGATACTAAAACCAGACAAGGACATAACAAAAAAAGTAAACTACAGACCAACAATATCCTTGATGAATACTGATGCAAACATTTTCAACTAGACACTAGCAAACTGAATCCAACACCATATTAAGAAGATTATACACCATGACCAGGTAGGTTTTATCCCAGTCATGCAAGGATGGTTCAACATATGCTAGACAATAAAGGTATTTCATCACATTAACAGAAAGAAAGATAAAGTCCATATAATCATAGCTATAGATGCAGAAGAAGCATTTGATAAAATCCAACATCCCTTTAAGATTAAGACTCTCAGCAAACTAGATATAGAAGGGACAATCCTCAAAACAATAAGACCTGGGAACCAGCAGTTAGCGTAATGGCTATGTCGCTGGACTCCCACGTAGTCGACCGCGGTTCACGTCCTGGACCCGGTGGCTTAAAACTCACGCCGGGCGCGTGTGCGTGCGTGCCCAAGATCCCGAGAGGAGAATGGAGGAGAAGGGATTGCGGCGTGACCATCCCCCCTGGGGGGTGATTTCTCGCTTTCTGTCTCTATGTCTCTCTCTGTCTGTCTGGCGAGCGCACGCGCCCTACAGTGAAAATCTCTCAAAAAACAAAACAAAACAAAACAAAACAAAACAAAAAACAATAAGACCATAAACAACAGGCCATTACTAACATCATACTATATGGGGAAAAACTGAAAGTCTTTCCATTAAAAAGTGGAGCAAGACAAGTCTGCCCACTTTCTCCAGTCTTTTTCAACACAGTGCTGGAAGTCCTAGCCAATTTAATCAGATGAGAGAGAGAGAAAGAAGGTATTCAGATAGGAAAAGAAGTTAAACTGTCCCAATTAGCAGATGAGATGATTATGTACATAGAAAATCCAAAAAAAAATCCATGAAAAATATTCCTAGAAATGATAAATGAATTTAGTAAACTAGCACGATACAAAATCAATATACAAAAATCTATAGCATTTTTATACACCAAGAATGAACAGACTGAGGCAGAATTGAAGAAAGCAATCCCATTCGCAATAGCCACAAAATGAATAAGATACCTAGGAATAAATCTAACCAAAGAGGTGAAAGACCTCTACAAGGAAAACTGGGGAAAATGGGAAAAAAATTGAGTATGATACCAGAAAATGGAAAGATATCTCATGTTCTTGACTTGGAAGAATCAATATAATCAAAAAGTTAGTTCTACTCAAATTAATTTACATATTAAATGCTATTGAATCCAATTGCTGGTGACATTCTTTACAGAAATAGAAGGTATCACCAAGGCACTATACTGCACAAAAACAATAAAATAGGAAGCATCTCACTATAGAACTTCAAAATATACTACAAAGTGATGTTAATCAAAACAGGATAGTACTGGAACAAAAATAGACACATAGATCAATGGAAAGAATAGAGAATCCAGAAATAAAATCCAAATAATACAACCACCTGGTCTTTGACAAAGGGTACGAGACAATGCAGTGAAGAAAATAAGTCTTTTCAGCAAATGGTGCTGGGAGAATTGGATATCCACCTGCAGAAAAATGAAACTGGGGGACCAGCAGTTAGCATAATGGCTGTCGCTGGACTCCCATGTAGTCGACCATGGTTCGCATCCTGGACCCGGTGGCTTAAAACTCACGCCGGGCGTATGTGCATGCATGCCCAAGATCCCGAGAGGAGAATGAAGGAGAAGGGATTGCGGCGTGGCCATCCCCCCTGGGGGGTGATTTCTCGCTTTCTGTCTCTCTGGCTCTCTGTTTGTCTGGCGAGTGCACGTGCCCTATAGCAAAAAAACCTCTTCAGAAAGAAAGAAAGAAGAAAGAAAGAGAAAGAAAAAGAAAGAAAGAAAGAAAGAAAGAAAGAAAGAAAGAAAGAAAGAAAGAAAGAAAGAAAGA